GCAGATGCTGGAGTACAAGCGGGCCACGCTGCGGGAGGAGGATGCCACCGAGGCAGCGGGCGAGGGGGTTCCCCCGTCCTCACCAGGCCCCGCGCCCGGCCTGACGCCCGGCACACCCAGGAGCTCTGGGCTGTTCTGGAGGGCCACCTGCCCCCAACTCCGCTCCTTCTCTGGCCTCTGCGCTAGGACTATGGTGAGGTGACTCTAAGCCATGACGTTGCACAAAACAAGCCTGGCCTGTCGCCCCGGGCCCTGAGTTAACCCCATGAGCCAGCGAGCCAGGCTCTGGAAACTGCCTGTGTCTTCACCTCCGGGAGGGTGGCTGTCGTCTGAGAGTCCCTGCCTAGCAGCTCAGCCGCTCTGTGTCCTCCTTGTACCCCCAGGTGGGACTCCGGAAGGGGACAGCACAACTCCTAGGCGCACACACGCAGCTGGAGTTGGCCTTGGTGGGCGTCTCTCTACTGCTGGTGGCTCTTCTCCTGGGCTGCCTGGTGGCCCTGGGGGTCCAGTATCACAGAGGTAGGTGCCCAAACTTGTCACTGTCCCTCGTAGCTGTGGGAACTCTGGAGGTTGCCAGTGGCTGCGGTTTTCTGTGGCTGGGGCCAGGCTTCCCCGTCCTCTGGGAAGGGCCAGTCACAGCCCTTCTGGTAACTGACAGTCCCCTTCCCTCTGGTCACGTCCCCAGCCACAGGCCCATCCCGCGGCACGTGTCTCACAGAAGCCTGCATTCGAGTCGCTGGGAAAATCCTGGAGTCCCTGGACCGAGGCGTGAGTCCCTGTGAGGACTTTTATCAGTTCTCCTGCGGAGGCTGGATTCGGAGGAACCCCCTGCCTGACGGGCGCTCTCGCTGGAACACTTTCAACAGCCTGTGGGACCAAAACCAGGCCATACTGAAGCACCTGCTCGGTGAGTGCAGGGCCTAGCACTCTCTAGGCGCTCAATAAATGTCCACGGGAGAGGAAGCAGGTGCTGGATTGCTCTGTGAGCGCTGTTGAGGAAGGGCGTGCAGAGAGCCGGGGGCTCTGAGAAGTGGACACGGCTTGGAGGGGCGGACTTCTGAGTACGATGGGGTGGTGGTAAGTGCCGGGGACCCTGTAACGCTGAGACAGATTTGAGAGGGGCCGTTTGAAGGGTCTGCTGTCTCAGGAAGTCTTCTTGGGTCTGCATTAGGAGAATGCTCACTGGCAGGGCGAGCAGAGGGACCAGGGCTGGGTCTCCCCCTTGGAAGTGAACCTGTGCGTCACCTGCGCGCCATGCTCCTCCCCGCAGAGAACACCACTTTCAACTCCAGCAGTGAAGCGGAGCGGAAGACACAGCGCTTCTACCTGTCCTGCCTGCAGGTGGAGCGCATCGAGGAGCTGGGCGCCCAGCCCCTGCGGGACCTCATTGACAAGGCAGGGCCGCCGGGTGGCCTGGGCGGGGGAGCGGGCGGGGCTTTGGGAAGAGGCCTTGGTCTGAGCAAGCTTTGGGGGCCCCCAGGCCAGAGCTTCCACTTCCGATCTCTACTCAGATTGGCGGTTGGAACATTACGGGTCCCTGGGACCGGGACAGTTTCATGGAGGTGCTGAAGGCAGTGGCCGGGACCTACAGGGCCACTCCCTTCTTTGCTGTCTACATCAGTGCCGACTCAAAGAGTTCCAACAGCAATGTCATCCAGGTGAGGTGCTGCTCCGGAGATGGGGAGGGAGGGGTGCAGGGACCCTTTCGGAGCCCAGACTCCCCGCCCCGCCCCGCCCCGCTCCCACCCCAGGCCTGGAGACCAGTGGCCAGAGGGGACTCAGCTTCTCTCCTTACCATTGCAGGTGGACCAGTCTGGGCTCTTCCTGCCCTCTCGAGATTACTACTTAAACACAACTGCGAATGAGAAAGTAAGGAGCGCCCTGAGAACCCCATTCCTGGCCCCTCAGAGCTGGGCTGATCCCCATATACTTTTCTCTTGGCCCAGGGTCAGAGCGGGGAAGGTGGGCCTGCCCTGGTGCCTAGTAAGCTGACTGCTCTTTCTGCCTCCTCATCCTTCTTTCTTTCTCCCTCTTATTCTCCCAGAAAAACTTCCCACTTTCCCTCCCCCTCCCTCTCTTCCTCTTCCTTCTTCTTTTTGTTTTTTGATAGTGCTAGAGAGTTAAACCCGGGGCGCATGCGTGCTAGGCAAGTGCTCTCCACTGAGCTGCCCTCGGCTCCCAGCACACATTTTACAGGTGCCCACTGTACCCCAGGTGCGTTGGGGATTCTGAGGTGTGAGTTTCAGAGACGCTGTCACAAGAAGCCACCAGTGCTGACTGTGTGAACGCAGCCAAGAGCAGAGCGTTGCTCCAAAGAGGGTCTGGGACGCGGGGGAGACTTGGGTACCAGAGGTTTCCCGAAGAGGTTGAATTTGAGCTAGGTCCTGTGGAATACATAGGATGAACAAGTCCAGTCTGTGTGCAGAGAATGGGTTACACAAAAGTGTGGAAGAGAGAAAGGCAAGGTGTGTTCCGACTGTGTCCAGTTTGGCAAGAGGTAGTGCTCAAAGCCGATGGGCGCCCAACTACTCTGGAGGCTGAGGTAGGAGGATTGCAAGTGTGTGGCCTGCTTGGATAATTTAGTGAGACCCTGTCACACACACACACACACACACACACACACACACACACACACACAAAAGATTTGGGGGTGTATGTAGCTCAGGGATAGAGTACCCCTGGATTTGAGTCCCCATTAGAAAAAAAAGTGGGTAGGCACTGGAAAAGTTGGGTGAGCAGTGAGCAGCTCCCGGGATCACAGGTGGACAGGGCCCTCGGAGACTTCTTGTCAGAGAGGGGACTCGCAGCCTCGGGCTCCTATGGGTTCAGGGCATGGGCTGCACATGTACTTGTGCCTTCGAGGGCCCCGGGCAGCTTCTCTCTGAGGGAAAGCCGAGTGGAGAGGACAAGGCGCAGGCAGGCACACGAGGCTTTGGCATCCATCTCCTTGAAACCGAGACGAAGGCCCAGGACAGTGGGAGACTGGAGACGGGAGAGAGCCGTGTGAGTGAGGGCCGTGGGAGGAAGCGTCAGTGACAGAGTGCCGCAGAGCAGACATCTGTCCTCCTGTCGTCGTTCCTTTGCCGACATTTCCTGAGTGTGCCTCAGCCAGGTCCCCAGCATGTGTATGAGGAGGAGCCAGCCCAGAGCCAAGGGCGAGGGTCAGCCACAGTGCAGGGAGCAGCTTCCCAAAGCCTCTGGGGCAGGAAGGTGAGCGACCCACAGATGTGTCTGGGAGAGAGGGAGCAGGAGAGAGCACGTGCCCGGACAGGGAAGGAGAGCCATGCTCTGTGTGCATGGTGTGGGTCCAGTCAGGGCCTGACCCTCCAAACATGGGAAGAGAAACGCCAAAGTAGTACGAACAGATCCGCGACTTGAGCATCACCTGAGTGGGGATGGAGGCTGGAGGGCAGGGAGAGCCGCATCGCCCCTGGACACTTGGGAAAGCCTTGGCTTTGGCTCCCTGGGTGCTGCTGGTTGCCTCGGGCAGGAAGCTTCCTGCCGGGACCTGGGAGAGAGTATGATGCAGAAGGTTAAGTCAGGATAAAACCTAGAAGTGCACAGGGCCAGGGATTTAGCTCAGTAGTTCTGCAGCCTGCCTCATAAGCGCAAGTTTGATCCTTGGTACAAAACAAAAACAAAACCAAAACCAAAAAAACACAAAACCTAAGAGTACAGAGGCTTCCAGAAAGTCCTGGAAATAGGTCTTTAGCTGGAGGTGAGGCGTTAGGGAAAGGCCTCACGTGAGGTCGCTTTGTTGAGTGAGCCATCCCCCTCAGGAGCTGCGATGACTTGGTATTCACCTCTTCCTAGCTGGGTACAGTGGCACATGCCTGTAATGCCAGCACTCTGGGAGGCTGAGGCAGGAGGATCACAAGTTCAAATCAGCCTGAACAACTTAGAGACTCAGTGAGACACTGTGCAAATTTTTAAAAATTTAAAAAGATCCAAGGAGGTAGCCCAGTGTGAAGGCTCTGAGTTCAGTACTGCAAAAACAAAAAAACTCTTTCCTTGACATCAACAGCAGGAAAGAGGAGAAAGGCCAGGGAAAAGAAAGTTTGCCTTTTAGAGACTTGATATTCAGGTTTACAAAATGTTTCGGTGAAGTGGCAGAGGAGACGGCCTGTGGGCTGTGGGGTAGGGTGGTCTGTGAGAGGGAGGCGTGTGCTGAGGGTCTGTTCACACATTTTCATTCCTGTCCTCAAATCAAGCATCCACTGTGTGGCACACACACTGCTCAGTGGTGAACAAAGCAAAACGGCCCTGTTCTCAAGGAGCTCAAGTGAGCGCAGGTGATAGGAATCCGGCCACGTCACCTTGCCAAGCTGCTCCTTCTGTGTGACGTGGGACTGACAGCCCCTGGTTGGAGTTGCTGAGCAGCGTGCGTGGGAAGCTGTGTCATATGTATCTTCCTAGCGGCCCGATCTGTACACACGTCCATCAGTTGACCCTTGCTGTTTCTTTTCCGTGCATTTCTCTCCCTTGGAGCAGAGGGGATTGGAGAAAGCAGCAGGTGTGAGGCCTGGCAGGACGAGAGGTAGAAGGGCCTGAGGCTGCTGGGAACCAGATTCCCTAGGGGACCTGGTCAGCTGTTCACTGCCACCAATGGGCTGGGACAACAGAAAGGCTCTAAGAAATGAGAAGGCAAAGCCGTGTGGAAAGCAGGAACACCTGCTGGACAGTACTTCCAGAGCACAGAATTTGTGCTAGGCCCTGCTGAGTCCCCTGTGAACAGCTGTTATAACCTGAACAGTGCTCTCCTGGGGGAAGTAGATGGCAAGCAAGTGCTCAAATACACAAGCAAGACAGCGGTAGGAAACGGGGTCACCCAGGAAGGCTTTCAAAAGGAAGCTCAAGCAGAAAAGCCCGGGGCCAGAGGCAGAGCCGGAACAGACCTTCTCAGCCTCGGGTTCTGAGGACCAGGGGTCTTTACAGGTGCTCACTGCCTACCTAGACTACATGGAAGAGCTGGGGCTGCTGCTTGGTGGATGCCTGGCCTCCACCCGGGAGCAAATGCGGCAGGTGCTGGAGCTAGAGACGCAGCTGGCCAACATCACGGTGCCCCAGGACCAACGACGTGACGAGGAGAAGATCTACCACAAGATGAGCATCTCAGAGCTGCAGGTGGGGTGGGCAGGGGCCACCAGTTTCCCTCCGGGCTATCTTTCTGAGTGAACTGGTCCAATCCCTCACTTCCCTGCTATGCTGCTGCTGTCCTGGAAAGAAAACTGGTGGTCATTTTAGGCCACCTCTCACAGGACCATCCTTTGGTTGGTTGTTTTCTGTGGATGCATGGAATGATTGTGTCAAAGATTTCTAAGAACTTGGCCAAACACTTGGGAGGCTGAGGAAGGAGGATTGGAGTTGGAGTTTGAGATTGGAGACTGAGTTGAGGATTATAGCCAGTTTGGGCTACATAGTGAAACCCTGTATCAATGAAATAAAACAAACAAGAAACAATCAGAGGGCCTGGGATGGATGCAGCTCAGTGACACCACGCCTGAAAGTGCAAGGTCCTCAGTTTGATCCTTGTACCAACAAAAAAACAAACAAACAAAAACCAATCTGAAAGGATGTGGACGTGTCTCTGGAGGCTCCTCATGTGCCAGGAGTTGCCCCTTTTGGTGCTGGATTACTGAGAGGTTAGGGAAGGGAAGAGAGGCCAGCTATGTGGGAAGTGTCAGGGGAGTAGTATTTTATCAACTGTTAAGAAAATATTTGGAGCTGGGCATGGTGGCACACGCCTGTAATTCCAGCACTCAGGA